GGACTCGCCACCCAGAGGTCATTCTGCTACAATATGTAGATGACCTTATGTTGGCTGGAACCACGGAGGAGGCATGCAGCCGTGCCACCGGGGACCTCTTACAAACCCTAGGCACCTTGGGGTATCGCGCTAGCGCAAAGAAGGCACAAATAGCCCGGCAAGAGGTCACCTATTTGGGGTATAAGATCAGGCAGGGGCAACGATGGCTAACCCAGGCCATGAAGGAAACAATACTACAGATACCAGAGCCCAAGACCCCCCGCCAGGTGAGGGAGTTTCTGGGGACTGTTGGATATTGTAGACTGTGGATCATGGGGTTTGCAGAGAAGGCTCGGCCTTTATATGAAGGAAGCAGAGAGACTCCAAACTGGACCTGGACTGAGCCCATGAAACAGGCTTTCCAAACACTCAGACGGGCCCTACTAGAAGCCCCAGCTCTTGCCCTGCCTAACCCAGACAAGCCATTCCAACTGTTTATAGATGAGAAGCAAGGAATAGGAAAGGGGGTCTTGACGCAGCAATGGGGACCATGGAAACGGCCAGTAGCATACCTGTCGAAGCGATTAGATCCAGTGGCCGCTGGGTGGCCCCCTTGCCTTCGCATCATTGCAGCCACTGCCCTCCTCGTCCGCGACGCCGACAAGTTGACGTATGGGCAACAACTCTCGGTCTTCACCCCCCACGCCATCGAAGGGGTTTTGAAGCAGCCGCCGGGTAAGTGGATCTCCAACGCCCGCTTGACACATTACCAGGCCCTGCTGCTCGATGCCCCACGGGTGCGTTTTCAGACCCCCTGCTTCCTGAATCCAGCCACGCTCCTACCTAACCCAGAGAAAGGCCACCCTCTCCATGAGTGTAGTGAGATACTGGCTGAGGCCCTGGCGGCACGAAAAGACTTAACTGATGTGCCACTAAGCAACAGTGAGCTGGTATGGTTCACCGATGGGAGCAGTTATGTCAAAGACGGGCAAAGAAAATCGGGGGCCGCCATAGTTGATGAGTCTGGGCAGACGATATGGGCTGAAACACTCCCCCCAAATACTTCTGCACAGAAAGCCGAATTGCTTGCCCTAATACAAGCTCTAGAGCGAGCGAAAGGGAAAAGAGTCACCATTTTCACGGACAGTCGATACGCCTTCAGCACTGTCCACATCCAGGGCCCCATATATCAAGAAAGGGGATTTCGGACAGCTGAGGGAAAAGAAGTCAAGAATTTGCCTGAGATTCGCAGGCTCCTAGAAGCTGTCCAATTGCCCCGAGCAGTAGCTATAGTGCATGTTCCCGGGCACCAAAAAGGGGAAGACCCAAAGGCAAGAGGTAATCGGGCGGCTGATGCGGCCGCTCGGAGGGCAGCCAGCCAAGACTACGTCGCCCCCATATTAACTGTGGAACTTCCCCCTCCCGGTATGGGGGCCTTGCCACCAATTCCCGAATACTCCCACCCTGATCTCGACTGGATCAATAAGGACACTACCCTCCAGAAGGATGAGAAAGATGGATGGTACCGGGACCAAGACGGCAACCTGATATTGCCTGCCACCCTGGGTCGTCATTTGTGTGAACACCTACACGCAACCACACATTTGGGAGAGAAAAAGACTTTGACACTTCTCCAGACGGCCCGCCTGAGGTTCCCCCGACAAAAGGCAACTGTACGAGAGATAATTCAAGCCTGTAAAGCGTGCCAGTTAATGAGAACAGAGAAGAAGCAACACTCAGGAGTGAGGTACCGGGGGGAGGGGCCCGGGCAACACTGGGAGATAGACTTTACTGAGGTAAGGCCAGGGAAGTATGGGTATCGCTATCTGTTGGTTCTGGTAGATACCTTCTCGGGGTGGGTGGAAGCTTTCCCCACTAAGGGAGAGACAGCCATAGTGGTTGCTAAAAAGATCTTAGAGGAAATAGTGCCTAGGTATGGGCTGCCAGTGACTATGGGCTCTGATAATGGACCTGCCTTTGTGAGCCAGGTTGTACAAGGGCTGGCCCGAGCTCTGGGGACGAAATGGAAGTTACATTGCGAATATAATCCCCAGAGCTCAGGACAGGTTGAGAGAATAATCGGATCCTAAAAGAAACGTTGACAAAGTTGGCAATAGAGACTGGCGGGGACTGGGTGACCCTCCTTCCCTTTGCACTTTTTCGGGCGCATAACACCCCTTATAAGGTGAATCTTACCCCTTTTGAGATTCTCTATGGAAAACCTCCTCCTGTGTGTCCTATTTTCGAGGGAAAGTGCCTGCCACCCCGTACTTTGGGACAATTCCAGCAAACTGATGGCATTAAGTAAGGTGCATAGCCATGTTTGGAAATTGACTCGAGAGATACACGAGGGCCAGAATAAGAGGGCCCTCCCCTCACATAGCATCGGCCCAGGTGACCGCGTTTGGGCAAAACGGCACCGATCTAAAGTATTAGAACCTAGATGGAAAGGCCCTTATGTTGTTCTCCTTACCACTCCTACCGCCGTTAAGGTTGACGCGATCGGACCCTGGGCTCACTGCAATCACGTGCGGCAAGCTACTCCAGAGGAACAGGAAAGAGCGCGAGCAGAATGGAAGGCGAGTCCTCACCCGTCAAATCCTTTGAAACTGAAACTCGTTCGACGGGAGGTCTCCTCTAATTCTTCTGCTGATGGCAGCTCTCATCGACCCAGGAGCGACCAGTCGAAGCTTCTCAGCCCAGAATCCCCATCATCCAGCTAACATGACTTGGATAGTCTATAACCCGGAGACCGGAGAGGTGATCAATTCAAGTTCAGATGTGGCCCCCAAAGGGACATGGTGGCCCCTACTGACCTTTGACGTATGCATCCTGGCGGCTGATGGATTCGGCCGTGGTCCCCACGGACTGCGTGACTGTTTTGCTCGTGGCTCCTATGGTTTATTCACCCATAATTGTGACGGGGAGGGCCCACACTATCATGAGCAAGTGCCTGTTTATGTTTGCCCAGGGGGAGGAAGGGATAGGAACCAAACTGAAAAATGTGGGGGAGCTGATTCCTTTTACTGCACCGCCTGGGGATGTGAAACGACAGGAACAGTCCATTGGCTCACCAATCCCGTCAGGGACCTCATTCAGGTAAAATCGCCCCCACACCTTCCAAAATGCAGGTTAGGAATATCGTCTAAACCAGGACAATGCTTTCCATTGCAGATTGAGTTCACAGACGAAGGGAAGAAATATACGAGGTGGGAAACTGGCCGGGCCTGAGGCCTACGTCTTTATAAGACCGGGTATGATACAGGGGTCCGATTTAAACTTAAATTAAAATTAGGACCCCTCTATCTAGCCCCCAAGGTTGCTTTGGGGCCAAACCAAGTGATAGCCCCGAAACCTTCCCCTCAGGAGGTGACCCCGAAGCCCTCCAAAAATGCAAGTTAAGAGATAGGCTCTACTCAACACCCCACTGCCCCTCACATAATCAGTGGACCCCCTATGGACCCCCTTATGAAAATGATCTCTCTAGCTTACCTGACTCTTAACGCCTCTCGCCCAGATCTAACAAATGGTTGCTGGCTCTGTTGTAACATTAGACTTCCCTATTATGAGGCAGTTGCCTTTTCGTCAGGATTCAATGACGGCTGACGTCTCAGCCTGTAGATGGCAGCAACAGCCTGGTGCGGGCCGCCTGACAGTAGGCTCCATTACGGGTATAGGCACCTGCATAGGCGCTGTCCCCGAAATTGATCAGCATCTGTGCAACCACACAGTCCCTACAGCTAACCCCACCAACCCCACCCATCAGTGGATCATCCCACCAGAGAACGGGTGGTGGGCTTGCTCCGCCGGACTAAGTCCGTGTGCCCATCAGGCGGCACTAAAAACCTCCCTAGACTTATGTGTCCTAGTCCATCTAAGCCCCCGGCTGAACTATTGCTCAGAAGAAGAACTGCAACTAAGGTTGGAGACGCCAGGTCAGTACAGGGTAAAAAGAGAGCCCGTCACTGCCCTCACTTTAACCGTCCTGTTGGGATTGGGGACTACAGGAACTGGAAGTGGAATTGCAGCCTTAACGCTCCAAGATAAACAGTATAACCAGTTAAGGGCTGCAATAGATGAAGATACTGAACAACTCGAAAAGTCCATTTCCCACCTCCAAGAATCCTTAAGTTCTCTGGCTGAGGTAGTGTTACAAAATAGAAGGGGTTTGGATCTGCTGTTCTTACAACAAGGGGGACTATGTGCAGCCCTAGAAGAATGCTGTTTTTATATTGACCATTCAGGAGTAGTACAGAAATCTCTTCAAAAGGTTAGAGAAGGCCTAAGCAGGTGAAAACAAGAAAGAGAAAATGAACAATCGTGGTTTGAGTCTTGGTTTCAATGCTCCCCCTGGCTGACCACCTTAGTTTCCACCCTCCAGGGTCCACTTATATTGCTGTTATTGATACTCACGTTTGGCCCTTGTATTTTAAACTGGCTAGTGTCTTTTATTAAAGAACGTCTGAATACCATTCAGATTATGGTATTGAGACAGTATCAGATGGTATCCCAGGATGAAGAGAAAGATTCCTCTACAGAAACAACAAGACAGGGGGGAATGTAAGGCTGCCAGGGCTAACGCCATGACAGACAGCCTAGATTAGGAGTAGGCCTGGTCTTCCGGGGTAACATGATTATCAGGCCGGAGCCAGCCGATCGACATATGCCTAATAAGAAAGAGGGAACCTATCAGGGGAAAGCTGAAAAGCCTGCAAATGCCCAAGTTTGAAAAAAGCCCGCGAAGGTTCAGGCCAATAAGATTGCTTTGCAAACATGTAACCAATCCGCTTAAGCCAGCTACCAACCGCGTGTGCTCACCCTACAAATCTGTGTGGCAGCTCAGGCTCGGGGCTCTCTGACCCCGCGCCACTGCGTTGGTTGCAGCAGGAGCCCTGACTCCAGTCAGCAATAAACTTCCCTTTTTTTTTTTTGCGAGTTGCATTGTCTTGGAAGCCTTCTCTCTTCCCGCTCGGGGATTCGGACATCTGGCATAACATTTATTATTACTCTGAAATGTCACATGCACTTTTAAAAATTAAAACTCTTTATTTAAACATTTCGGTAGCGTCTTACCAATTTGGTGGCAGCAAAGAAGCTCTACCAAAGACAAATATGTTGAAAAGCATTTACAAAAATACATTGCACAAAGTCCTGTCTTGCATCTTTAAAAATAAATATTCAAAATATTTCCACCCCATCTCCCAAATTTAGCTTTATAGGAAATTTTGATTTATATATTTATCCTGTAATATATGAAACATATGTATATATTTTATCCAGCTTAACTACATAGGCATTAGTTTCAATTCTAACAAGAGTGAAAAAAAAAATGCTAGTTTATGTAGTTTTTGTATATTTGAGGACTGTTGTGCAATATACATAAAACTCTTCAGAAAACCAGTCAGCACCATCATTTTGTCTTTTTCTGAAAATACAACATTTATGGTACACCAAAAAACTGTCTTAACCCAAAAAAACTTAAATAATTTTTAAGGTAAAACATCTGTAACTTTAAGTGCCTTGCAGATACCTCATTTACAAAGTCTGCTCAGTAAAATAGCCTAAATATTAAATATTAATTATAACCAAAACAAAGAGAATGGCCAAGTCGTAATAAAAGGCGAATCCAACCAGAGCCAGTACAAAGTGCTGCTGTAAGAAAAACATCACCAAATGTCCTGGTGTCATGAATTTGCCACATGGGACAATCTTCTTTAATAACCGTAAGTGGAATAAAAACATAAGCCTCTGAAAGAGCATGTTAGTGTTTGTTTGCTTTTCAGCAAAATTCAAAACAAAACCTGAAAATATCCAAAAGATTGGATTTCTTGGTTCCTATTCATAGTGTGAAGTGAAACTGTAGGGAGAATCCGATGGGATGAGCCCAGTGGAGACCTGAGAACTCTATTTACATGTCTGTGTAGATCCAGACCATCCCCTCTCGAATCAGACACACTTCAAATGCGCAACACAGGGAAACTCTCCAGGGTTCCTGAATGGATGATGGGACACACGAAGCAGGAAATCCATTTCCATTACTTCCGCACCTGGTGATACTAAAGAGCCACTTTTGCCAACAGAGGAGTGTCTCGCCCTAAAGGGAGGGGGTTCAGCTCTCAGCTGTGGTGACGCCGCTCTTCCCTGAGAGGTGTGTGCTGGGCGAACACACATCTGCTCCCAAAGGCCCTTCCAAGGGGCTGGTGAAGGCTGCTGTCAAGGTTCCAAGAACACTCCAAACTTACTTTCTTTGCTTTGTTCCTGATGTCAAGCAAATAGCTTTATGTTCAAAATCAAATCCCCCCACCCCCAAAAAATAAGTGTCTGTGTGAACCATACATTCAAATGAATTTCCAGAGACCACCTGCAGCTGGCAGGTCTCTGAGCCCAAGCAGTCAACATGCAGTGTTTCCTGGGGACAGAATAGCAAGCTGGGTATATGCAGCTGGTCAGCATTCATCACTTGTACCCTGTGTCCTGCTGGCAGCTGGTACGTTTACTTCAGGGGTGAATTAATGCTGCACTCTCTATGCCCGAGTCCATGAAGGAGTCCAGTGTTCCAGGCTGTCCAGTATATACAAAATGTACAAGGATAGTGACTCATCTCTTTACTTGACAGGCTCTCCATGAACTCTGAACCGGTAAAGACACGTGTATTCAGGATGGCCCCAGTTAGAAAAAATCCGCAGTTCCACTATTTGGAAAGCTCTTTCCGGTTTTTTCTGCAATTGAGGGGAAAAGAGAAAAATCACACATTTCATATTAATACGCCCAAGCCCCAACACTTCCCCAGCTATGAGACTTGAGATTAAGTAGCCAAGTTGGAGATTAAGCTTTTAACATGAAATATATCATTATAGGACCCAAAGTTCAGGTCATTACATATGACACATTTGTGCAGAACAAGTTACATACTAAAAAGGCTCATTCTACAACAGAGAAGCTAGGAAGCTCGGGTCCACTTGGTCAGAGGCTGGCCCTCACGCCCCGTGGACAGTTCTGTTAAGTATCTGTGGGTCCTGAGGCCGGGACTGTGGCAAGGGGCCCTGGAACACGCAGGGAGTGCGAGGTCCTTACCAGGGCCACGAACATCTGGAGAGACTCCCCTTCCTGATCGTAGGTGAACTGTCCCAGGAGCTGCCCTTCTTCCTGATACTCGTTCTCTAACCCCTGAAACAGAACCATCTAGTCACTAAATAAAGGGAGAAGACAATGAGGTGGGGGGATTACGTTCCCATTAAAGCAGGGAGAAGCGCCCAGGAAGGCTTGCTGTCCGCTGGGCATTTTGTTAAGGGCTTCTCACAGACCACAAAGCCTGTGAAGCAGGCATTACTTTCCCATTACATAGATCAGGAAAACTGAGGCTGGGAGCGGGCACACTAACCAGGCAGCAGACCACACTCAACAACCACGTGGCCCACTGTTGCCCTCCACACTCCAAAGTGGAACCCAGGGCACCTGATGCGTCTGGGAAAGGAGAGCCGGCCAGCAGAGTGTGGTGGACTCACTGCCAGAACGAGGACGGTGGGTGCCAGGGGCCGAGGGACGGGAGTCAGTGTCTGTGCAGACAGCCTCCGCTTGAGGTGAGGGAGCTCTGGAGATGCCGGTGGTGACGGCTTCCCACGGGGCCAGTGTGCCTAATGCCCCTAAACCGCACACTCATAGATGGTTAGGGTGCTAAGCTTACGTTCCGTGTATTTTACCACAGTAAAGAAGTAGCCGGTAGGAAACAAGTGACTACTTAGATGTCTGTTTCATAAAAGGAAAAAGGACTTTCTAGGTGTAAAAATGCCATGGAAGAAATTACAGGTAATGAGCAGGTGTAACTAAATATGGAATTAAGACTGACAGTAGGAAGTGTATCTGTAACAGAATGACTCATGATCAATATTTTTATATTAGAAAGCTAAAATATTCATAAGGAAACTAAGATACCAAAAGATACATAGATAAAAACAAACCAGACTCTACAAAAAAAGGAAACATGCATGTGCAATACACAGTCATGAAGATCAAAACAAGAACCATCAGGTGAGTGGGGATTTTAAAAAAAGACTCAGAAAGGGAACCACGAGATGAGGACTGCCTCTCATACTAACACCACATGCGGTCTGATGAATCAAAGGCCCCTCGTGCCCCCGAAACATCACGCCGCCTGAGTGTCTTTCTGGGGACTCACTGAAGAGGGAAGGCAGCTTTGGGGAAGCTGGCACATGGACAGGGGCACTCTGGGGAATCGGCCCAGTGTGCAGTGGCAGGAGGCGATGCTCCAGTGTATCCAGGTGTCAGATGCTGCTAAAACTCGTACAGTGACGTTCACTGCCATGGACAAATTCTTAGGGTCAATTTGCTTTTTTAAGGTAGGAAGTGAAATTTTATGAATGGTGTTGTCTCAAACTGTGCACTTCTTTTGCCAAGCTACGCAGCTTGTGGGATCTTAGTTCCCAACTGGGGCCTGGGCCCGTCAGTGGAAGCACCGCCTACCCGTTGGACGGCGGGGAATTCCCTCAGCTGTGTGTGTTATGGGAAAATGCCAGTGTTAATGGTGACTGCTGAGGTGCTGGGATCTGGGTGTCCTTTTCCCAGCACCCTCACCATGTCCTCACATCGGAATCAGAACAGACTCCACGCTGAGCAGACAAGAGGCGAGTCCTCCCACAGCCTCCCTCCCTGGAAAAGTCTGGGAACGTCTCCCTTCACGTTTACTGGATACTCAGAGGTCAGCGGGCAGAGGGGAGGATGCGAGGGGCGACGCTGGCAGTATACTCGCGTCCCAGCCTTCTTGGGGCTCATCTCTGGAAGAGTCCCTGAGGGCTGAGGCGGGGTCTCGGAGTTTGGGTGCACTCACAAAAACCGCGAAGTCCTTGGGGGCGCTGGTGATGCTGCCCGTGGGCGACAGCGCTTTCGGTATGTGCTCCAGGGTGAAGGCGGTCGGGCGGATCGTCATTGACAGCCTCACCACCAGATACCCCTGGGAGCCTTTGAACGCCCAGCAGTTCCCTGGGTAGATGTCAGGCTGAGGAAAGGCAAACACTAACACTTAAAAGCTGAACAAGCTCTTAACCACTTTAAAAACAGGAGTAGTGAGAGAAAAGACTGGTTAATATTGAAAAAAACAAACCATAGAATTTTTGTTGGTAAGAAACGGTCATCCGTAAGATCAAAAATAGGAAGTGAGGAAAGGCACCCGTGACTTCATCCTCAAGGGCCACATGCACAGTGCGAGGTGACACCTGGCAGGTGAGCCTGAGAACAGGCGGCACATGGCGCTGCGAGCGCCTCGGACGCAGGGAGAGACTCCCCATTCCCAGAGCAACGCAAAAACCACAATTTAAGCAACACCTATGCCCCTCTCTCACCTAGCAGGCAGACAATAATCCCCACCAGACAAAACCTGCTGTATGCGCTGGGGATGCACACCCCACACACCAAGCCCAGAGCAGCGAGACGCAGCCCCTGGCATCACGGAGCAGACCATGCATGCCGCCACCCTCCGGCTGAACAGAGAGCCCACATTCACGCCCTGTGTGTGGGGACAGCCCCAGACGACAGAGGCGGAGCACTCCCCTGAGAGAGGGCTTGTACTGCGGCGGAGGAGCCCGCAGCCCTCGCCTGGGGCGTGCCGTCCAGAGGTCAAGACCACCCTCCCGTTCATCCCTGTGTTCATCTCCGCCTCTCCAAGCGCACCAGCTGCCCGCCCTGTGCCTGAGGCTCCGGGTCCCCGGCAGGGTCCTTCCCGCCTGCAGAAAGGCCAGGCTCCCCAGGGGCAAGCCAGGCTGTGCCCTCCCAGACAGGCCTGGGTCTGAGCCGTAGGGGACACCCCTGAGAGACGGTGAAGCCCAGCACGGGACAGCACGGGCAGCCTCGCCTGCCCCGAATCCAGAAACAAGGAGAGCCAGCAGAGGCGTCAGAAATCGCCTCTGAGCGAATGGGGATGGCGGGGACCGAGAGGTGCATGCCTCTGCTCCTGGGTCTGGGGCCACTGCGCGGGGCACACCCCGGACCGTGGACTCAGGACTTGCATGCTCCAGCCTGCTCCTTTGTGGAAGTGGAACGCACACACCCCCAAACAGCGGCACACGACTGCTCAAGGCCGGGACACGCATGCGGCACCTGGATGGCCTGCTCACCTGGATGGCCACACGGGGCGACTGGGAGAAGTACCAGAGCGGCACGCCGAACAGGCTGAGGAGTGCGGTCTTGGTCTCGTACGTCTCGGAGCAGCGGGTACTCAAGACGCTCCCCCCTGTAGCAGAGCGGAGACACGACTCAGCATCTCATCCTGTTTCGGAAGCAGCATCACTCTCACCTTAGGGATCTGTTTGTAATGTTCTAAAAATTCTCATGATTCTAGTCATGTAAATAATCTAACATGAAGAGCAGCTCCAGTCTTACTTTTTTAGTATTTATTTACGTGGCTGACGGGGTCCAGATGCAGCACTGGGGAGGTTCGTTCACAGCCGTGCTTGGCCCCCTGGTTGTGGTGTGCAGGCTCCAGAGCACAGGCCTTGCTGCTCCGCAGCACGTGGTCTTCCCAGACCAGGGGTCGCACCGGGTCCCCCGCACTTCGAGGTGAGTCTCTAACCACTGGGCCACCAGGGAAGCCCCTCCATTCCTAACTTTACTTTTTCCATATTCAGAGTCCACGGTTCACAAACGTTTTAGGACACACAGTCCTAATGCCAACAAGACACTGGGCTCCCCACCTGCCACGATGAGGGCGGTGACTCTGAGTGAACCACTGTTCTCATTTTAAAATAAAGAATAATGAATCTAACCAGGCATCAGGAGTTTTCAGATGGCCTACTTACTGCTGGGGTAATGGGAAGTGTCTGCTAACAGGACAGGACTTCTATTTGGAAATAAACAGAAATGTCCTGGAAGTAGATAGTAGTGACCGTTGTAACAGGATTAAGTATACTAAAAGCCACCCAACTGTACACTTGAAAATGGTGAAGTCTGTTACATGAATTATATCTCAATAATTATAATAATAAAAAGTGTTAAAAAAAGTCCAATTTGCCTCTCAGTAGGAAATGGGATAGGATGTTGGTGTCAAAACAAGTTGGTGCAGGAAGAAACATCAACTAAAATAAACTACAAAGGAAACAAGTGAGTGATTAATAAATCCAAGCAGTCCCGAGCCGTCTGTCTGCTAGGACCAGTGGCGCCTCAGCTGGCTGCACACCACCACCCCGGGGACACCAGCAGAGGCAGCCCCAGCCCCTCTTGGGGCTTCTCACCTCCGAACAGGAGAGGCGCGCATGGGACAGAATTTTAAACAAGAAAATAATGCGATTTTGATCTAGCTGACCGGCAGGTCCAAACTTCTGAATTCTTTTAAAACATCTTATTCTCCATCTAAAAAAGTGTCTCCTTGGATACAGTGACTCAGTGTTCTCACTTAGGAGGAGCCAGTAAATGCTTTGCTCAGTAACAGAACATTCAGTTCAGCCTTCTGGGGATGATGAGAATTCTGAATCAGTGACATACCAACCTGTGAGGACTTACACCTCTAAGAAAACATGACAACTACTGGTCCCATCGAACTGGTAAAAATCACGTGCTGTCTCTGAGTTGTGAAAGTTCCCTCAGAAACCACTGAATTTCAAAACACAAAACTAAAATCATTGAATATTCTGAAACAGTCATTCTAAACAAAAGACACACAAGGAGCAGCTGGGCGCCTCACTGCTTTCCGATGCTGGAAGAACCTGGCTGCCTCTGGCAGGAGCAGCAGCCCCGAGAGGCTGCGTGAGGGGAGGCCCGCGGCCCCCACGGCCCCCCAGCCCCGCCCGCAGCCCGCCAACTGCCCTCACCCGTCCCACAGGTCCTCACACGGTTAATGATGTGTGTCAAGAACCTCCTTTCCTCCAACCAAGAGACCCTAAACATTCAGAAAACCAGGGTTTTCTCCAACGCGTCTGGTGCCAAATGCTCCCTGGACTGACGTGACGTCACTCCCGTTTTCACACGCATCCCCATGTGTGATCCCAGCTGCTGTCCTGCAGGTCACCGAGGCCTGGCGACAGAAGGCCATGAACATGCTGCCTCGCTGAACCACAGGCTGGCTCTTCCAGCACACCTGGCCCGGGGCCACGGCCATGCAGCACCTCCAACTGGCCTTCCTGAGAAGCCGGAACAGTGCCCATCCTTTCTACCCACCAGCTGTGGCTTCTGACACAGTAACGGCCATTGTTCTGTCGTCTGTCTCCCCGCTGGAGGGGAGGTTCTGGGGGGCAAAGTGTGCAATTCACTGTTGTGTCCCTGATGCCCCCAGTGGGCCCTGCACGTGACTGACAGGGAGCACTACTGTCCTGAGAAGCAGTCTGAAGAATGCTCTGCAATCAGTGGACTTCTACACTTTAAAAACCCACACACTTTACAACACACAAGACTGTAAGTGAATAATCAGTAGTTCTGGGGTTCCGCTGCGGCCTGTCATCTGGCTGCACCCACAGCCCGCGCTCCGGGGAGCGGCCGTGTCTGCAGCAGGCCGCAGGGACACACCTGCAGTACTGCTCCCCCTCAGGCTGTGGCGCGCTCGCCCACGTCCCCACCCCTGCCCTTGGCTGAGGAGTCAGGCACTCACCCCCGGATTCCAGGGCGAAGTCCACCATGCCTGTCTTGTCCTGGGAGTACAGCTTCAGGGCATTGTTCACGATGACCCGTGCTTGCTGGGCAGAGGCAGCGCCCACAGGAGCAGAAGACAAGACTCGTGTTAGTGACAGAAACAGACTTTCAGTGAGCTCTATGTGGGGCATCTCAGCAACGCCAGACTTGAGTCCTGCTTGTGACCACAGGGACCCTGGCGAGGGGGCCAAAGCCAGACACCCGGGCTCAGACACGGCACAAAAGGCTCAGAGCCAGAACCCCTGGTGCCATAGAAAGTGGACAAGCAAGGACTAGCATTAGAGATGGTAACTGGGACTGCACTGTGGGAAATTTTTGTGTAATTCCAGAAGGTATGTGGCCACCCAGGTAGACAAAATCTTTGGGACAAAAAGATTAATGAAGTATGAAGTGTAACACTTCCAAGAAGTAGTCTGACAACACGAAGCCTACTTTCCCCACGCCCACCCGGAGCTAAGCACGCTTCACACGGTCGCCACATCCTTAAGAGACCATCGTCGGAGCAGGGCATCAGCGTCAGCCAGCTCAATGCCTGCACGGCAGTTCCGTCACCACGTGGCCTGAACGTTCCTTGTCTACTCACCGCTTCTGTTATTCCCGAAACGCCTGCTCCTCTCACAGCAGACACTACAGTTTCGGAGGTCGGCATCTCTCCTGTTACAGAAATGTGGTGCGTGATGTTCCTCAAGATCTGCAGCTCTAAATCTCGTAGCAAAACCTGCATGTCATCCTTGCTCACAAACTGATCAGACAGCTTCCGGAGCAGCCAGTTGACAGAAGCATCGTGCTCATCTCCAGAGAACATGAGTCTGAGCGCCTCTCTGATTTGGACATCCACCTAGAAACATCATTGGCAACTGTCATGTGAACGTACTGTTTTAGATGAATCTTTCCAACTCTCCACTCAATCACCTTAGACACCCTGGAAGGATCACACAGCTGATCAAAACCCATGGCAGAAATGCGACACAGTTTTTCCTTTCATACAAAACTTAAGAACCCTCCAAAGATACTGGGATACATTCAAGGGGCAGGGACAGAGGAGAGCAAGTCTGGGTGCTCTGGGTGCTGGAGGGGGCCCTGCCTCAGGTGAGGTGCAGAGATGATGGGGCCCCCAGCTTCAAATTCAGTCTGAGAAGCTAACAGTCCCATACACAACTGCAGATGTGACTTTACGCAGGGAGGAAGTATCCCGGTGCGGTTTATACACAGATACCCGGGAAAGTGCAGCTCCTGTCACGCCGCCAGCCAGTGACCTCCCCATCTGCACGCTCTGGAATGTTCCACCAAGCATGTCAGCCGCCGCCCCGCCTCGGGCCACCTCAGCACTAATGTCACAACTCTGCACGCGTGTCTATGGCCCCCGCGTGGGCTCTTTCACCTCTGCACCCGCGTCTCCAGAGTGGGGCTGCTTGTCTTTGAGACAAAGTCTCTGCGGCCCATGGCCGTCTCAGGGCCTTCCCCTAGGAGGCTGCAGGCCCCTGTCCCCCAGGCCCCCTGCAGGGACGGTCACCACCCCGCCAACCTGAGGATCGAGGAGCAGGTGTTCCCGCAACCTGCCACCCACTCAGGGAGACGGGTCGCCTGCCAGGCTGGGCTGCGTCTGGCGTCTGACTAAAAACACACGGTAACAGTCCTATTTTAACACAGCTGTTGTGTGCTGTGAAAACAGTACACTGTCAGTTACAGTTGTTTACGTATTTATCGGTGTTTGTCAGCCTCAGGGCTCCCGCATCACAGAGGTGCCCGCCCCCGCCTGCCGGCCTAGCTCAGCAGCGCCTGCGCCTCTGCACCGTCCGTGCTCGCACCGCCCGCAGCTCTAAGCGTAGGCGCTTCTGCTTCTGTGTGAGGACGGGCGGCCCTGACCCAACGTCCTGACGCGCGGCTGTGAGGCACGTGCGCCTGCTCTGGGGACAGACAGACAAACTGCTCCCCCAACCCACACACAGGCGTGCCCTCGGAGGGAAAGACAGGCCAGCATCCACACACCTCATGTCCCTGGAATGGAGGGAATTCGAGGGGAGCTGAATTTTTAATTATTTCATTTAAAATGTTCAAGAAACTTCAAATAAAGTTAAAATAAAATTTTTAAAGAAAGTTGAAATTAAAAAAACTTAAGGCACCAACTCAGTGTTTTTATTTTCCATGACAAAACATAAAAACTGAGGCACTGACCTTTTCATGGATGGCCTCCACCTTCTCACAGCTGGCTTGCCCATGCTGCCAGCTGGACAAGTCTGCTTTCAGGTGCCCCAGCTCCTGCTCCAGACGCCCAACCAAGGCAAGCAGGCGCTGCTCCTCACCAGCCCCGCTGCAGGGGAAGGACAATAGCGCCATCAGGGAAGAGGCCCCGTTACAGGCAGGGTGGCTGGCAACACCCCCCCTGCCCCCAGCACAGGGACGGTTCAAGTCAAGGGCCCAGAGACTGTTGCCACCTCAACGTCTGCACACACACACACACCACACACACCTGCCGTCAGCAGTGGTCACACCTCTGCTGGGTGGGGGAGGGCACCTCCTAAACATCATTTAATATGTAAAACCTACACCTATCTCCTTAAAATTCTGAGACTTCATAAACTCATAAATGAGACTATGTTTATTGGTAATCATCATAAAGTCAAGTATGAATTTTTCATGCTACTGGAAGAGAAAACTAAACTAAAAACATATGGCTTCAGGGTTTTAACAATCCTATTTTAATGCAGCCATTGTATGTTATATGAAATGGTAGTGTTATATTTATAGTTGTTTACAGGCAGGAACAGTTGTGGAGATACCAACAGTTCAAATCTCACAAGAGTGCCCTCGGGGTGAACCCTGCAGGGTCTGCACGGTCTGTCAGAGGGGCTTTGACACATAAAGACCCTGAAGGAGAGTTAAAAGGTCTGCCACTCACATCGTCCTGAGGCCTAAAATCACGACACAGGACCCGCAGACACACTGGGGCCAGAGACAGGAAGACTGGAGGTCAGAGCTCCCCACGTGTTCTCTCCCAAGTGAGTTACTGGAGTAACAGAATGGTAACAAAGGCGGGGAGAGCCCGGGTGACAAAACCAAGTGTGTGAAAAAGACGGCAGCTCTGAGGCTCATAGGCAAGGGAAGCGCCACGCGGCTGAGGGCATCGGGAAAACGTGTGGAGAAGGAGCAAGCAGGGTGTGAGGACCAAACACGGCACCCACAGAACTGCTGAGGGCCAGGGCTCAGAGGAGGCCCAGCCGTGCTGCGGCCACGCCGGCTCGGAAGGCAGGTCTCCTCAAGGGGCTGCCGCACTGCAGTGCCCCGGGGTGAGCAGAGGCCCCAGCAGGAGGCCCACTGCACCCGGCTGTGAGCCCATGGCCGCTCCTTACCCCAGGGTGGCCCTCCAAGCCGCGACCAGGGAAGGAGGCTCCCCAGAGCACACGGGCCCCGCATCTTTGGTGCGGCGTGCAGGTGGATGGCAACAAGCCTCCCCCAGCCTCCTCCATCCTCATGTGCCCTGAGAGCCTCCCAGGAAGACAGCAGCTGGAGCTGACACAGCCCGCCACTCCTGTGCTAAGACGGTGCGGCCCACGGGACACCGAGGAGCCCAGAAGGCGGGAAAGGAATTATGTGAAACATCCTACCTGACTGTTCTTAGCCTGGCCTGCTCTAGCTCCTTCTGGATGGCCTAAAATGATTGAGAAACAATGTTTAAATACACAAGTTATGCACCAACTTTCCAGGAAGTCACATACATGACTACATACATGTAAATAAAAACAAATACACATTTACCTGGGATTCTCCCCTTTAATTTAAAGCCCAGCCCAGGCTGCTGGTAGGCAGGTGAGGGATGTTTACTTTACTTTCCACAACAGACTTTAAAAGACACATAGTGTCCATTCAGAGAGGCACACAGTTCACCTGGGAGCAGCTTGACAGATTTTCAAACTAAGCAAGCAGCTCCTATAACTAGTACCCAGGCCACGAAGCCAGACTCCGTCAGCCCCACCAAGTGTCTTAAGCGTGGCAGGTCACGGAGGAGCAGATTTACACACGAAGCTGTGCCTCATTAACATGGTTTGTTCACAGCCGTGCAGGCACAGCTGGACAGAGGCCCCGCTCCGTGGTGGCAGCGACACGAGCGTGGGACAGCCGCGGACACTTCCAATCGATAAGCAACGTAAACCGCCGCCTCGATGCCGTCTGCAGCCAGCCCCACCCCGAGGACTACGGTCTCCCCTGAAGCAGCAGCTCCTTCCCCGCCTCCGCGACACCTGATGAGGCCAGACTTTCCCCCAGAAATTCCTCTGCAGACAGGTCAGAGCGCTGCTCCTTCTCCCCCAGGTCCACAGACACCGTCCCCCGTGGAGGCAGGAGGCAGCTAGTAGAGCCGTCCCCACCCCACACCTGGCTCAGACCCTTCCCCTCGAAAAGACAGATGGAAGCCCGTGAGCTGGACACACGTGGGAAGCACTAAAGCAACACTGGAACAACCCAGGAAAAAGGAGGCAGTCAGAAATACTGCTTTTTAGTCTCATGAAGGACGGCAGCAAACGCCCTAAAGCAGCACCTTCAGAGAGGCTGGGGATGTGAACACAGCGACTGCGGACTGCTGACTTTTGTCAAGGAAACCGCGCTGCGGGGGCTAAAAGTAAAAGGTCAAGTGTATGAATACCTCAGATCTTTCTGTCAGTTCTCCAAGTACATCTTCCAGGCTGGAGATGCGCAATTCATGCTCTTGGTGAAGTGTCACATAGTTCGTCTTGAAAGGGAAAATGAATGAAAAATGGCAGAGAAAATTAAGCAGCAAATAAGCCCAAACCTGTCAGCCAGGCCATGCCGTTCCTCCACAGCACCCCGCAGGGAGGACATTCTCTCTGGGTCTAAGTTCAGATGTCTGAAACCTGCCCTATGGTGGTTCTGAGGAAAATGGACTGACAATCCTTTCTTTGAGAACCAAACAGATGAGACATGAAACATATATAAATATATACAAGCTCACGGCTCCATAAGGACTAGTAGCTGCTCTTAACTATCTTATGATCTTGAGATATTTGAAATAACAGATTTGAGCAAATTTTCAGTTCAGTGACAGTAAGACTTCATGCAATTGTGTTCGATCCACTCACAAAATAAAATGCAGGCCAGGGACAGCCATGTGTCCAGCTGCAGCCTGCCCTCCCTCCTGGGAGACACCCACAGGCCTCCCCGCCTGCCCCACCCTGTCCTCAGATGGGGCTTCTCCTCAGGAGTGTCCGGAGCACCAGAGCGCCGGCCACTGCCCTCCCCGCAGCACCCACCCAGGGCCCTCCTGCTCCCTGCGCCTGAGAGCTCCCTGGCATCACTGTGGAGCCCGGGAGCCCGCCAGCGCCAGCCCCCTTGAGATGCTGCCCCCAGCCCCACACTCCTCACCGGGGGTGACCCCCCCTCACTGCTGCCTTCCGCCCGGTCCGCCCGAGCTTGCAGCTTCTGGAGCAAAGCCGCCAGCTGTCCAAGCTTCTCATCGTGACTGTGACACTGTCCCGACAGTGTGGCCATCTGCCTCTCCATCTCACTCACCCGACGCCAGTGGAAGGCCTCATCACCAACCTGGAGAGTAAGAGGTTCCAAAGGGGACAAAAAGACAGGACAAGTCCAGACAGCAAAGCAGAGCGCTACAGGAGAACGTCAGCTACAGCTCACACAGCCCGAAGGAAAAGACAGAAAGAGGCTCCTCATCACTGGTTCCTTTACATGGCAGCCTATGGGTGGTTTTTATTTTTTGCTTTATGCTTTCTACATTTTCCAAAGTAATGAAAGCTCTTTTTTTAAGTGAAAATGAACTGAATGATGAGATGAACTGAAATACAGAACTTCAATGAACTTCACAGGCACTGCATTTTCACAAGCGAAGGTCTGTCCATGCACCTTCCTAACCGCACAGAGAGCCCGTGCTCCAGCAAAAACATTATATGATTCATTAAAGGCTTAGATGATGGTTCGCATTTGTTAACAGTGAAGTATTTTCAATTAAGGTCTGTACATTGTTTTTTTAGATGTAATACTATTATATACACTTAAAGTACCATAAGATAAACATAACTTTCATATGAACCAGGAAACCAAAAAATCTGTGTGATACTGGAGCAAAATCCACAGTACTTGAGGTGTGCCTGTATGCATTACTCCAACTGTTTCAGAACAGGTCAAGGGGCCCAGCTGAACTGCCCTGTAGTTTACAAGGAATGCAGAAACTCGCTTGGGACGACAGACTGGCAATGCCAGGGAAGCGCACCTCCTGACTGATTACCTGCAGAGGCTGGCTGGGGGGGGAGGCAGCGGGTGTGAAAGTGGTCCTGGGGTCATCCACCCTCTGCACTCTGTGGCTTTGTGTCCAGTTTAGCACAGGCAGGAGCGAAAAGACGTCACCCTGGCCCCACAGTGAAACAGCTGCACCTCAGAGGAGAGAAGAAGCACCTGTACACACGCGCTCACCGCTCGTCAGACGACAGGTATCTAAGTGCTCTACTCTTCACTAATGCACACACAGATGCATGTGTACATACTAGTCATGGAAGGTAACAAAGTAAAACTGTACCTACCTAGTAAAAGTAATAATGGAATGATCAAGATTAAAAACTTGCAAATATTTCGAAGGCACCTAGGAATGAAAAGAAGTAACTTGGGAAAAGCTAAAAGCAGGGCTCACCATCATACCTGACCTTGCTAGGTAATTTTATATAAAACACACCCCCCACCCTCATTTTAAACTGAAAGTCCACAGGCCAAGAAATGCAGCTAGCTTTACGCACAAGGTCAGTAGATGCCTACAAGAGAACCTGCCCATGCAGGGCTGTCCTCAGGGCCCACGTGAACAAGCCGACAGGTCAACAACTGTCAACACGCTGGGCTGGGTGCACAGCAGGAAACTCAGGGACCGCAGGCGCAGACCCAGGGAGGCACCCTGGCGCCAGGGCGAGGGTACCGGGATGGAGCCGGGGGCCGGGCCCTGTCCTGAGCACCCTCCCAGCGGTGTGATCCAGGACGCCTTGCTGAACCGCTGCACCCCAGTTTCCTTGATGACACCTGCCTTTCCCTTTGCACAGGAGTGGTTTGAAAAATTACGTAACAATATGAAAGCACTTTGCAAAATATAAAATGGTTAAATCAAACGAGGTCATAAAATCAGCATAAAACCAGCTCTTTAAAACACCCAGCTGACATGGTATCGGTCTCCTTACCTTGTAAGAAGAAACACATTCAGCCAAGAGATCCAAGTGACAAACTGGTACCATCCAATCCCAAGCCACCAGAACACCTCAGACGCTGCCTTCCCTAGAAGAGAAGACACCGAAGGTCCTGTGGGGGTGTTTCTAGGAAGAGCGAATCCCTAATGGACAGTTTTGTGAAGGAAGGACAGAAGCACAGGAAATGTGTTAACAGACACTTGAAAGTATATCAAGATGAAGTTAGGGATGAAGTGTATAGGATGATGCTTAGTCATCACAGCAGAAATACCCGTAACTCAAACAGGAACATAAATAAGCCACAAAGCAACCTGTCACACACAAGACAAGATACCAAGCCCATGCACTCCCAACTACAGCGAAATTAAGCAGCTAGACTTACACAGAACCCCACACACCGAGAAGCAAAGAATGCCCATGCAGCTAAAAGCACAGGATGCTATTAAGAGCATTTCTAATAAAGGGCAGGACATGCTACACGGAGGACAAAGGCGCGGAGAGCGAAAATGAAATGTTTACTTGGTTAGGTAACCAGTTTACTGCAGGTGCTTAGCCGCCAAAAGCCACGGAGCGCTAACACGGGAAGGCCAAAACAAGCACCTGGGGCGGCCGCGGCCAAGCACAGCGCCGACAGCAGCGTCCGGGACCCACGCCATCCTGCGGCTCCGGCCCTGTGCAGCGCCTGCCCCGGGAGGCGACCTGTGCCGGAGAGGGCGTGGAGGAGGGGCACCTTCAGGCCCCAGCCCCGCTCCCGGGCAGAGCCGGCCAGCCCCAGTGCGCACCACACCCGCAACCCGCCCCGTCAGAGCCCACGGCCTCCCCGCAGGGACAGCTGCGGCTGTTTACGTCCAAGCAAGACGCTGACACTAACTCAGGAACACCCTGCCCTGGGTCGCAACAGTTTTCGTTCACTTCTGCCTACGGACACATAGGACATAAAATGCAGAGGTTTCTCGTAAACCCCTGGGGGGCTGGCTGGCGGCTGCCAGCGGTGGCGGCGGGCAGAACGTGTACCAGAAAGACACCACAGTCACATAAGGAAGCAAGTGTAACACTCGCCAGCAGTTAACAGGCTCTGGGCGAGACAATGGTCACTGAGACACCAAAATGAAAATCTTCCACCCTGGTGAAAACTGGTGGAAAATATCTTGGAATCACAACTGGCAGCCCCACTGGATGACAGAATAAAACACAACAAACTTGATGCCAAATGTCACACATTATATAAGGCAGAAAACTGCTTGTGAAATCACCTGTTCTCATTTTTTAAGAGTAACCACTGGAAGTTAAACACTCACACAGCATTTGTGTGTTGACTCCCGAAAATGTTAAGTAATTCCAACTCAACTGATGTGTAAAGACACACGGTGTTAGAGGCTTATCTTTTTTTCTTTTTAATCTATAGCTTTATATTTATTAATTAACAATGAGAGACAAAACCACTCAGTTCGCCTCAAATGTGCTCCTCTTCATACACTTCATTTACACCAGATACACTCGCAGAGAAGCTTTTGAAGAATGACAGTCTCTGTATTTTAAACAAAAGTTACTACTTTCCTGTCAATTTTACTAAGCCCTTGAATTTCAAGCACAAAGAAACAGTAAACAAGGAGCATTCGTGAAAACAGGACAGAACCAAGACAAAAGCGCCGGACGACCTGCGCGGGACAAGGCGAGCCCCAGGGTCCCTGCCAGCCCTCCTGGCCGCAAGAGCTGCGAGCGGGTGGTGACGTGCGTTTCCAGGCGCTTCCTCCCCTTACAGTCGTCGCCTGCAGGGGTGGGACAAGCAGTTAATCGGACAGATGGACAAACACACCCTGTCAGTGCGCATCAACGGCAGTTTGAAACAACCAGGAAACTCAATTCACGCAAACTCCCAGCCAGCGCCGCTGGTGCTGCTGGCTCCCGGCCCGAGGGCCGTGGGCCCGCGTGGCCTGCCATACTTACACAGCGACGCCCCATTTGCACGGAGGTGGCCGTCCTCGGCGAGGGGCGCTCTTGCGTCCATCCTCCCACAGTGACGGGAATGAGCTGCAACACAGGCGAGAGGGGCTGAGCCGGAATGGGGCTCCGCAGGGTGCAGAGGGGCGGGGGCCGCCTGCTGGGACATGCCCGCCATCACACAAGGTAGGCCTGCTTCAGTCACTTTTAAAACATCACTGTAAATGCCATTCAAATAATTTTTTTTACTTTAAAAAGGTCATAAGAATAAAAAGAGGAGCATGTTAACTTTTTATTTACTGTTTAAATGATGATCGACGTCCAAGAAACGTCCAGAACTGCAGAGAGAGAGGTGCAGAGCAAGGCTGCAAGCAATAGAGACAGAGAGAGAGAGACAGAGAAAGGCCGCACAGGTCAAAGGGAGGGCATGAGCTAAGCGTTGCATGGGGAAGAGTGTTTTCTCCACCTTGAAAGCGCTTGATTTGGTGGCAAAAGGAGAAAAAAATTATTTAAATACCTTTTGATTCATGGCTTTCTGACTCATAGCTTTTTGATTCACGATCTTTGGATTCATAACTTTTCAATTTGTAATTTTCTGATTCATAATTGAGCTTCATTAAAACCACTTGGAAAAGTTGCACTAAGAACGAGGCACAGGATGCTGAGGTGCACGCGGCCAGCGACCAGGTGCCATCCCCCCGGCGGGCGGCGTGGCCTGCTGAGAGACCATGAGCAGTTACTCTTCCAGCAAGGCGGAGTGACGCACTTCAGCTAAGGTGGGACTCACCTTTTTTTTTGGCCGTGTCATGCAGCTTGTGGGATCTTAGTTCCCCAACCAGGAACTCAACCTGAGCAGTGAAAAGTCGCAGTCTTAACCACTAGACAGCCAGGGCATTCCCTGGAACCCACTTTTAAGTGGGCCCCTGCTGGGCAGAGCCACAAACCAGCTGTCCCCGAGGGCACTGGCAGCGCCACACGCGTCTATCCACGGCCAGCTGTGGTGAACACAGGCTCTGAGAACACCAGGCCCAACACTTCACAACACACCACTGCCTTCAGGAACTGGCAAATGGCCTCTGCCCCAACCTCTGGCCCAGCAAGCCCACTGTGCTCCCAGCCACAAGAAGACCCTCAGAGATGAGCAGGCCCCTCAAAGGCTCTCCGACAGCTCGTGCAGCCGGGGACAGAGACCCCAACACAGACACTGAGGCTCTGGAAACTATGGTGAACCTGGTCAAGGGTGCCTTCCGTCCGTGGCTCCCTTTCCACAGCACCCAGCACGTCAGGACAGACAGTGTAACCCCTGTAACCTACAACACACAGGGCGGTGTCTACAAGTCACAGTGACTAGAAACGTCCATGACTAAAAGAGTTTCTTCACTGAGTGGCAGCTGAAGAATGAGGCTCGTGCCTGCCCCGTGACAGCCACAGGATGGCCTGGAGACGGGGCTGCCAGCCTGGGCCACCGGGAGCAGAGAAACGCGGCCCCGTCCATTCATCCCCACTCAGCTCTGTGAGGTCAGGGCACACGCGTGAAGCCAAAGGGACTGGAGGGATCTGAGCGCGAGTGGTTTAGAAGAAATAAGGTAGAGCTCCAGCCCTCTCCCCACACGGCCTGCGTGGAGCAGCAGGCTCCTTGTGACATGGAGATCTGAACCAAAAAACAACACTGAGACCAGAAACCCGTCAGGCCCACTTTGTGTACCTCCACTCACAGTCCTCTGCGTTTGACACTGCAGTGTATACTTCATACAGAGATTGGTAAATATAGAAGAAAGTTAAGGAGGTTAATCCATGGCCTGTCTCACTGACACTCAAAACCACCAAAATCCATTTTTCATTCATCAGTTGGCAACATTTAAGAGAACAAAAATACAAAGACTCCTACTTAGCAACAGAACATGAATGGGACCCTCAGCTGGCCACACAGGAGAGCAGTCCTGGTCAGTCTGCAGGGAGGTCAACAGGAACAACCTATCTAAACTGACACTATACATCACCTGCTTTCAGCGGCGACGATGATGATTCAGAAGCTGCCAGCCGGAACAATTTTTAAGTATATTTAACTGCTGATGGTGGTTTCTGCAGAGGACAGGCTCAGAGCTGCTCCTCCTCCAAGCCAGACAGCAGCACTTCAGCTGCTCCGCAGAAGCCATGCCACGCCGTCCACTTCAACCTCAGCTGCTCGGGGTCACAGCTCTCCGACCCTGAAGTCGCCCGCCCCTCTCCCAGAAGCAGCAGACGTTCTGTCCTTCCTTCTCTAAAGACTAGGCCTGGTTCAAGAAATGAAGTTCTGCTCAAAGCAACTGAGATGACTGATAAATTTTCAAAGGAATGACTTTTCATTCATCCATCCATCCTTCTTTCCTCGGTTTACACCTTCTACTGGAGGACAGACGTGTCACCTTAGGCAAGAGAAAGAACACAGAAGCCTGTGTTTTCAGATTCCAGATCCCTGAGCCCTCCTCTGGGGTCAGCCCGGGGGCCAGGCAGGCCGGAGGGGCAGCAGGCACACAGGAGCAAGACCTGGCAGAGCCGATCTCCACGTCTCCAACACCACAGGCTTCTCACACAGACGCTGATCCTCATGGCAGAACTGAGTCTGCTCATGAGCACAAGTCTTAGCATTCTGCTCTGTTCAACACTGTTCAATGTCCAAGGAAAGCATGTGCAAGGCTTTTAAGGCCTTTTTTATGTAACCAAAAAAAAAAATCACATTTTTTCTACAATGCACTCACCCTAAATCAGAAGGTTTCAGACTCAGAAACTGCACAGCGCAGGCAGGACGTGCGGCATATAACACAGCTGCGCTGCTTTGGGCCTGCCTACCGTGAAGACTTGTGCACGAACTCATGTACACCCAAAGAAAACACAGTGTGTAGAAGTGTACAAAGAGCAGAGCCTGAATGTCCACCTCCACACCAACTAATTTCAATACAACCATAATGCAACATTAGGCATCAAAAAGAATCTAAGTTCATGACAATTACCATTTAAAATGAAACAAGTTGCAAAATCACCTATTGGAAGCAAAGACAAAAACATACTCCATGTTTCTGTAGGAACATGAAAGCAAAATTTAGACTGTTACACAACACTGAAATGATAGGCTAAAATCGTAGATGGTTAAGTCCCTGTTATGTGACTTTCACCTCCTTAAAACAGCAGGAGGTTCCATAACAAACAGGGTGAGGTGAAGGTCCCTCCAGAAGGGACACCGGACAGGAACTGGGGAGGAACAAGGAGGGGACTGAACTTATCTGTGCTACTTAAAGATTTCACAATGAGAATGTAAGGAAAAAAAAGAAAGAAATGTGTGGGTGGGGTTAACTTGTGATTGCTACGCATATTTTGAGTAAACATTCTCATATAACAGATTCCACACAGTGTGACCTAAACCCCTCCAGGTACAAGTTATTTTATTATTTTTTTTTTTTTTACAAGTTATTTTAATTTTCTTCCTTGTACCCCTCTGGGGTTTTTTAAAAGTTCTTTGATAAATGTTTCACTCAAATAATTAGGAACAATTTTTTTTCAAAGGTAGTAAGTTAGCACTGGCTCTACAGAGCACTGCCATGATGTAAAAGAACAAGGAGCACAGTAAGAATAGAAGCCCAAAGTATCCGTAACTGGTTTTCTCCCCAAAAACACTCAAGATCTTATTAAGCAGGAAGTGGGGTGAGTATCCAGAAGCTGCCCTCTGAAGACCCCGCCGATAGCGCAGCGGGGCTCAGGCCACAGTCCCCAGCTGTCAGGACGAGTGGCTGGCTGCCAGCGGCAGGGATGCGGCAGGGGGTGGGCAGCAGACACGACCACAGACAGGCGGCTCCGCCTGGCAGCATGTGGGGCACGCTTTCACCCTAAGGAGGGCGTTGCGCCCCATGCAGCAACGGCAAGCTTCAAATGCAGCCTCAATGCCCGACACGCGGCACATCAAGTGTGGGGCCCGGGCCCCAGCCCCAAGGGAGCTCCCAGAGGACCAGCGGCTCAGGGCCAGGTCCAGGCTCCATCACTCGCCGGGAAGCGTATGAAGCTGGCTGAACCCGTTTATTGGTCTGTACGATGGGGGTGATGATGCCAACAGCGACCACAACAAGGGGGACAGCTGTTCTGGAGGGCTGCTCTGAGGGCCGGGGAGGTCATGGTGCAGAGCCCTGGGCAGTGTGAGTGCACGGGACACAAGTCTCATGGCACCCACACACAACTCCGGGACCAATTCCCTGCCCTTCCCCTCACGGTGTCCCTGTTGCTCTGCCAGCCCTGAGGAGGGCAGGAACATGGCAACCGGCAGAACAGAGAACCCAGCCAGGGGCTAAGGTGCAGACGGAAATGGAACTGAGAGTCAGCCTGGGACCGTCCTCCTTCACGGTGAGACGGTCACTCGAGAAACAGGACCTGGGCACCCTCATGCACAGGACCCCACCCCGCCCTCCCACACTGTCCCCTCCCGACCAGGTCCACCTGCACAGCGTGTCCCCCGGCCGTGCCAAGCAGAGCGCTCAGACCACACAGACGTGGGACCAAGGACTTGGAAACAAGGCAATGCATATTTCAAGTCAAGCACGCCCAGCCTCCCACACCTGAAGGCAAAGAGCAACTGCAGCGGCCGTGAAGCCACTGGAGGGGCACTGTGGCCAGGTGGCCCCCGGAGGAGCCTCTGTAGCTGCATTCTCCGTGGGGACCTGGCAGAGGCTGACTCCCTCTGGGCAGGTACTGATCAGAACCAATCAAGCACACGGGGGCCCAAGGGCCTCCCCCTGCCAGTCAGCGGTCGCCCCGTGAGACCCTCCGCCATGCCTGCCGCCCTCCCAAAAACGCTGGTGTGCCATGTGCCACCTAGAACTCTCTGGTGGGCTGTCCCACGGTCAGGACGGCGACCCACACAGAGACCAGAGACGGCCGCCGCCCCTTGGGGCACATGGAGCCTGTGCGCCCTTAAGAAGGAAGCGAGTGTCTGCGCGGCCGCAGAGCCCTGCAGGTCCATGTGGACAGGGCTTCTCTTGCTTACTCTTCTCTTACTCCGTCTGTCTGTTCAAACGGACAGACTCGCAAACACTCCCAGGTACAAGACCCACCACATCAAGCGCAGGCTGGGAGAGGGGGAGAAGGAACAGAGCTCATTTTTGGTGCATCTCTTAGAGAATAACTTTGAGCTCAAACATGGTGAAGACCGTGAGGCCTGTAAGACAAGGCTGATAAAAAGAAAATGAAATAGCTAGTATTTGGACATGAACCCTTTCCCTCACTTTTAAAAGAGCAAGACTTACGTTTCTGACTCCTGTCCCTGGAGTAGACCCAGGAGGCCGGGCCGCGTGCTGCAGAGCAGGCGGTGAGCAAGCCCCTGCGCTCGGAGAGGAGGCTGCAGTCGCTGCAGGTGTAGCCGTTGCTCCCGGCCGCCTCCGCGGCCCCCGCGGCCGCCTCCCCGTTTCCCTGAGTGGCAGCTTTATTCCCACCTGCAGTTTGCGAAAAAGAGACGGCACCTGCTTGTTATACAGTCTGAAGACACCTAACTAAAACCTCCATCTTGAGAAATGTGGGGGAGAAAAGGATGAAAATAATTACCTTTAAGATCTCCATCATCATCAAGACCTAAAAAACACACATTTTTTTGCTGTTGAGCTAAAATGATCAAAACAGGACAAAATGCACACAAGCAAAAGTAAAGGTTACAATGGTTCATAAATGAACATTATGGCCCTGGTCAAGACTGACTTCCTATAAGGCCTACAATTAAGGAAGATTCCTCTAGGTACCTGGAGACGTCTGCTTTCCACTCCAGGAGAAAGTGCATCTCTGAGGAAAATGCCTATACACACTCTTCGTCTCACACACACTCACATCCCCCCATCTCACACACAACACCCCCCACCTCACACACACTCACACACCATCTGACACACACTCACACACCATCTGACACACACTCACATCCCCCCACCTCACACACAACACCCCCCACCTCACACACACTCACAAACCTGTCTCTTATGCTCACACACACCCCATATCACAATGCTCAAAACACCCATCTCACAGTCACACCCCTTGTCTCTTAGTCACACACCCCCATCTCACGGTCACTCATCCCATCTCACAGTCACACACCTCCATCTCACACAGTCACACACACCCCGTCTCAGTCACACACCCGCCCCATCTCAGTCACACACCCCCATCTCAGTCACACACCCCTCATTTTAGTCACAGCCCATCTCATAGTCACACCCGCCTCACCTCAGTCTCACATGCTCACATGCCATCTCAGTCACTGTACACCCCCCATCTTACAGTCACACACACCCGTCTCAGTCACACACTTCATCTGACAGTCACACACCCACGTCTCAGTTACACACCCCTCGTCTGATAGTCACACACTCCCATCTGACAGACACACACCCCCATCTCACAGTCACACCCCCCTCACCTCAGTCTCACATGCTCACATCCCATCTGTCACACATCCCTCATCTTACGGTCACATACCCCCGTCTCACAGTCACACACTTCATCTGACAGTCACATACCCCCGTCTCACAGTCACACACCCCTCGTCTGATAGTCACACACCCCCATCTGACAGACACACATCCCCATCTCAGTCACACTCCCATCTCACACAGTCACACATCCCCGTCTCAGTCACACCCCCATCTCACAGTCACACACACCTCCGTCTCAGTCACACCCTTCTCATCTCAGTCACATGCCTGTCTCAGTCACACCCTGTCTCACAGTCACACCACCGTCTCACACAGTCTCACCCGTCTCACAGTCACACTCCCCTCATCTCAGTCACATGCCCCTGCCTCACAGTCACACACACCCCCATCTCACAGTCACATCCCCCTCATCTCAGTCACACACCCCTCGTCTCAGTCACATGCCCCCGTCTCACAGTCACACACCCCCGTCTCAGTCACACACACCCGTCTCACACAGTCACACACACCCGTCTCACACAGTCATATACCCTCATCTTAGTCACACACCCCTCGTCTCAGTCACATGCCCCCGTCTGTCACACGCCCCCGTCTCAGTCACACACCCCTCATCTCAGTCACACGCCCCTGTCTCACAGTCACACGCCCCCGTCTCAGTCACACACCCCTTGTCTCACAGTTACACACACCCCACCTCACAGTCACACCCCCCTCATCTCACATGCTCACGCACCCCTGTGGGCAGAGGAGCAGGCAGGAACCGGAGCGCCAGTGCACTCGCCCCGCTGATGCCCAGGCACTACTCTGCTGGTGAGCAAAACAAAACCAACATGCAGGCAAGGCCTCCCCAGACCAGCACACGCTATTTCTAGAGCTGATCTGATCCCCGCATCTCCTCAGAAGGGGCAGCCTGAACGTCAAGGGGACACAGCGGCTCTCGGCCGCTCAAAGCCGCGGCCCCTGCAGCAAGGACAGGGCACACTGCTACTGCTCAGGGGGTCAGGTCACAGCCACACTGCCTCTGGAGTCCGTCTGTCTTCACCAGGTTCTTCCCGATGAATCAGAAACTGCGGCCCAGAACCTGAAACCACGCTGCTGAGTTTACCAGTGACGGCACGTCAACACCGCACAGAAGTCCCGCATTAGACGGTCGTGAGCCTGGCCCAAGCCCTCCACGCCACCTTCCGCAGCAGGACACACACTTGGCCATGGGAGGTCGTTTCCTGGCGTTTCCGATCTGATTCAGATGAAGGCCTCAAACGTTCGCTGGGCTCCCCCCACCAGGAAGGGGCAAGGCAACAAACTGGCCACAACACTACTTCCTCTCAGGACAACCAGAGAAATCAGCAGAGAAAACTCACCCCAGAAGTGGTCCACTTTGGTCTGCTCACGGATCAGAGACTCATCCAGCACGGGAGGCCGTGGACAGGCTGCGGCCTGCACGGTGCCTGAGCCGCCATGGCTGACAGCCAAGGACAGGACCTTCCTCGAGCTGGGGTGGACACTAAATGCCGACTTGTGTGTGCTGCTGCGCTGTTTGGCTAGTCTAAAAAGGAAACAGTCAGGAACAAGTCTACACTGTCTAGTAAATATAAATGATTACGTTTTACCAACACAAAATCTTCGCCTGACAATGAATAGTGTTGTTAAAGTAACATTCTCTTACATCCTTCCTGCTGTAATAAGACACTTATTAATCTAAAAAAGGAACTGCTAAGCTAGGCTCCAAGAACTCCTTTGAAAACTGTGGCACAGGTACTTTGCAGATTACTTGGGGGCCCAGGACCCCTGATAACTCAGTTGGTAAAGAATCCTCCTGCAATGCAAGAGACCCCAGTTTGATTCCTGGGTCTGGAAGATCCCCTGTAGGAGGGAAAGGCTACCCACTCCAGTATTCTTGGGCTTCCCTCGTGGTTCTGCTGCACGAGACTGAATCCATCTGCAATGCGGGAGACCTGGGTTTGATCCCAGGGTTGGGAAGATCCCCCGGAGAAGGGAAGGCTACCCACTCCAGTGTCCTGGCCTGGAGCATTCCATGGACTCTACAGTCCATGGGGTCGCAAAGAGTTGGACACCACTGGGCGACTTTCACTTCGTGACCCAAAAGGGGTTCAAAACTTAAAAAACAAGTCACGGCACCACAGGCACATCCTGCAGTTTCTCAGTCACAGTGAAGGCAGAGTCGCGTCCAGCATAGCGAGGAGAGGCTGTCACCAAATCCTTTCTGCACTGGACCCACCGTGACAATGGACATGAAGCCCAGGAAGACGAGCTCCCTGCCCTGCTCCCCAGGGACGGAGCAGAGACAGGAAGGCCCCATGAGCACGCACACCAGGAAACCTGATCCTGGAGGCACCGGGGACAGAGGAGCAGCCTGTCGGAGCCAGGGTGCCCACAGCCACACCAGTGAGCCCTCGAACCAGGATGTCCAAGAACATCACTGCAAATGAACCCCACGTGGCCGCGGGGGGCCGCGTGTGCGAGTGGTCCTGTGGACGGCGAGGTGGCGCCACGGACACCCACGCCCAGCCCTGCTGTCAGGCCAGAGGCCTGTCCTCTCACCAGTCAGCATCCCCACTCCCGAGAGACAGCTACTCAGGCTGGAGACTCATCACTCTTAACACAAGCAATGCTAAAGGAGAGCTGTTAATTTCATTCTTCATCTCTAAATGGCACAGGGATCCTGCACACTCCTTCTTGGGCACAAATAAGTGATGGGCATGTGGAGAGTTCCAAAATCAAGTCAACAAGACAACCATAAAGACAGGTAAACATCTAAACTTAGGCATGTGCCCGTCAGTCCACACAGAGTTTGTGACCAGACTGCAGCACTGATGACAGAGACGCTGTAGGGCCGTGTGACGGCGGGCAGGCCCCCTCTCTCCCCACCGGGAGCCCGCACGCGGCCGAGCTGGGGACACTGGCCCAAAGGCAGGGGTGTCCTTGCCCTCTAGACCAACGCCAGACAACCTGAACACCCCAGGCCTGGTTTCAGCCTGGTCCACAGCCGAGCTACAGCCATGTGAGCACCCGTCTGTGTGCACACACGTAACGGCAAACCGCCAACAATAAGGTCTACAGGCCGGAACGCAGAGCGCCAGTCCCTGGCTCGCTCACCTGGCCGCGCTGTCCCCAGCGGCGCCGTCCCCGGCAGCGCGGGCTGTGGTGACCAGGCGCAGACTGCGGCGGGACATTCTTGGAGAATCAAATACAGGATCCAACTTGTGTTCAGTCTCGAAATCCAGAGCATCAGAAGAATAACTTGAACTAAAAGGAAAAAAACCTTGTCAGAGATAAACACCAATTACAGCACCACTTTTAAAGTAACAGAAAGTGCAATCTAGTGTGAATTTTTAAAAACAGCCATTAGGATGTGAAGCCGTTCCTACAAAGCAAAAGCAAGCTGGGACCAACTCGGCCCACAGCTGACACGCCCTCCATGGGCTCTGACTACAGCCCCTGCCTGGGGTTCAGGTCTAGGGCTGGCTCTAAGTGCGAGAGACGCGCTGAAGTCACCAGCATCCCTCCATGGGCCGTGAAGTCAACACTGTCAGAAAACTACAACCTTTGCTGTTAATAGTGGACCCTGCCTGATAACGCAGTTAATGAGACAGGGAGCCCAGGAAGCTGCTGAATAATCAAAGAAGAGGAAAGGAAAAGCCAGTGACTGAGCCAACAGCGCCACTTTGCGTCTAATTCATCGTTAAGTCCAAAGACGGATGGTACAAAGAAAACCCACTTCCATGTAATTTCCTTAAACCAAAACACAGGTCCTTCTGCGCTGTCAGAAAGCTTTCCAGATCCAGGAACATGAGAGGAGAACCTGCTCGGTGCCTCATGGGGGTGGGGGTCCTAGAGACAGTCCAGCAGCCAGGCAGGACAGTGAGGACTCCACACCTCCAGGAGGTGAGCTCACACCCGGGCAGGAAGGAGGAAGGTGAGGGAAAGGGCACAGCTGCCACAGGGAGCAAAGCAGGGGAAAAGTAAATTGCAGCCCAAGGCACAAGGGTGGGGCTGCATGAACTTGCGACTGGCTGCAAACAAAGGCCTTCTGGAAGCAGAGGGAGACCTGCTCCCCGGGAGGCCCTGGGCAGGCCCAGTGGTTTATCTGCCGGAGGTGGAGACTCTGGGGACACCTAGGGGCATGTCCACAAGGCAGCAGAACAGGCCCCAGTCAAGACAGCAGACCACTGGGCTAAGGATCTGGACATCCAGGGTAACCAGGAGCATCTGAGTAAAGTAAATGGGCTTTACATTTCTGCAATTTACTTTATATTATAAAAACATTTTCAGAAGCGCCCCTGGTGGCTCAGTGGTGAAGAATTTGCCTGCCAATGCAGGAGACACCGTTGGATCCCTGATCCTAAAGATCCAGTAGCCACAGAGCAACTAATCCCCTGCACCAAAACTGCCGAGCCTGTGCTCTGGAGCCTAGGAGTCACAGCCACTGAGCCCACAGCTGCCGCTCCTGCAGCCTGTAGGCCACAGAGCCCACGCTCCACTGGGAGACCTCGCGCCACAACTAGGGAGCAGGCTCCGCCCTCCACAGCCAGAGAAGAGCCGGTGCAGCCACGGGGACCAGCGCAGCCAGGAATACAGAAACACAACTACAGAAAGTGTTTCAGAATCAAGCTCATTATAAACTTAGATCTGACACTGTGCTTAGTCGCTCAGTTGTGTCCAACTCTCTGTGACCCCATGGACTGATGCCTACCAGCTTCCTCTGTCCATGGGATTTCCCAGGCAAGAATACTGGAGTAGGTTGTAATTTCCTTCTCCAGGGGATCTTCCCAATCCAGGGGTGGAACCCAGGACTCTCGCACTGCAGGCAAATTTTTTACCCTCTGAGCCACCAGGGAAGCCCACTGGTGGGCTTTGGGTCTGACACTGAAAAATGTTAAATCAACAGAAAATCAACACAAACAGCTTCAAGTTGCTGTATCTATTTGAGGCATCACCTATAACTTAAGGAAAAGGTTCTTAACTTTAGAGGCTGGAGTGGAGGCAGGACAAAGTCTGCACTAACCCACACTGTATAGTGAGGATGCTTAGCTCAACATAATTTTAATACAAAATAGTTATTACTCTTCCAAAATTACTTTACATAATTTTCTTAAATGAAAACTGTAATTATTTCAAGTCAGAATTCACCACGTAGATGTGGACCAACACCCCTCCACCAACTTCTTCCAAGATGTGGGCCTCGGCCCCCGGGGCGCTGGGGTTCCCACCTGGGCTGGCCGAGGGCCAGACGGGGCCTGCCGCCCGCAGAGCTCTCGAGCCTGAGCCTCACACCGCCTCCCATGAACTGGTCCTCTGCCAGGCCCTCCTCCTGTGCCCTCCCAGACTGCGCAGTCACCCTTGCCCCTCCCTCCCGTCAACCACAAGGCCTCCAGTGTTCCCTCCCAAAGCCCACACCCTGCCCAGCACTGCCCGAGCCCTGTCCCCACGGAGTCTCAGCTGAATGTCTGCCAGGCTCTGCAGAGCACCGTCCCCATTCTGAAGACCTGCACAAACCTGGTCCCACCCCTCTGGGTGGAAACCCTGTGCTGACCGCCCTCCTCCCACCAGCACACCTCAGCCTACCTGCCTTTCCCACTCCAGCCCTCACCCACCTCCGAGGCTCTGCTAGAGTGACCTGACTGAAACAAACAATGCTGCTCTCCCAAGGGAGAGATCCAGATAAAGGGATGTTTAAAGACTGTATTTAAAATGGATCATAAAAACAGATAAGTAACTATAAAAACAAAATTAAAATGGTTATAAAAACTAAAAATAAATTACCAAGAATTATTTTCATGCTCCACAAATACAGAATAAGGAAGAGTTTTACTTGAGCTGGCCCACTCACTTTGTTCTAAAACACTACAGACTTTCCATAAAAACAGTACATGTTACTATGGAAAAGCATGATACGATCTAAACTTGTGACTAAAAACTCAAATCATTAACCAGCAGGTTTGAGTAATGCTGCTACGAAGTATGTTTCTGAAAATATCTTCCAATTTTAAGTTTTGATCACATTTTTAATTTTTAGAAGACAAGCCATTGATAAAACTGACACTAGCATCTTTCCTGTGTGCTCGAAACATCTTGCCAGGATGCAAAGATTTTTCTGTCTGCTAATCAAATCCTCACCAACCTAGGAACATCATCCCTTTGCCATTGGCCCATAACTTTACCACACTTAAGTTTCATCTCAACTGTCCCTTCTACTTGGTAAACTAGAAAGGCAAAGAGCAAGTCAATGCCTCCTAAGACTCAGACTACCAGGCGCAGCACAAAATCACAACACAAATAAAAACAGGAGGCCAGCACCGCACCCGCCAGAAGCTGCGCTGCAGAAGCCGAGGCTTCACCGAGACTCTGTGAGGGCGCCTCCTCTCAAGGGCAGATCACTTTCCAGGCTACTTCTGTTAACTTCAAACTGCTCAGCCATCGGCATAAATCACAAACCCCAACATGACCACACAGATGTGCTCTTGAGAGCACAGCCCCATGGGTGGAGGCTAAATCAGTCATTTGCAGTGACGAATCACTGAGTCATCGGAAACATTTGGTTTTCAAAAAAAACCCCTCATAATTTCCATGTCAGTTTAGCAGTTTTGTAAAACCAGAGCGTAACAAAGTTCATAGACATTTTCACTTTCAACACAAAGCAGCTGGGTGCAAGTACTATGAACCCCCCAATAACCCCCCGGCATTCAAGACAACGCACACGTGCAGCTCACCTGAGTGCATACGTGTAGCCAGTGTTCTCGGGCACACACTGGGGAGGAGTGTACATGTGGAGCCGAGAGAAGTCCATGCTCACGGTCTCAAAGCATACTGCAGAGAGTGGGAAAAGCAACGCAGGCTGTTAAAGGCTGGGACACACAGAGGAGCCCTGTACAAACTGACTCAAGAGCTGCCGTCAACACTTTGATCAAACAGGGCCAGTTAGAAGTTAAAGCAGGGTTGCTTTTTTCCTTTTAAGCAAAGGAGACAAGTTTTCTCATGGCTCTAAGTCCAGAGTGTAGTTAGTTGTCAGACTGAGTTCCCTAAAATGATAAATCTACAAAAGCAAAGGGGGAAATCCTAGACCGACTGACTAAAAATGAAGAGAAAACAGAGAATAGCTCAGAACCCTCTTCAGAGCGTATTTTTTAAATTCCTGAAGGTGTCAAAACATTCTCACACCTTGGGAATAAATTTTCGTTGTTATTAAGTAAAACAGCACTGACTCTTGTTCCTCGGTCAAGATCACTCCCGTGCTTTCCTCGAAAGTCAAATTTTTTTAATTATACAAGTGCCTCAGAATCAGGAAACTGCAGGCTGAATAAGAGATAAGCTACAAGCTCTGGCTACACTTTTATTCCCCCCCCCCCGAAAAACACAGATTATTTTTAAATTTAAAAGTTTTGAACATATTGTTTTCAAGGTTGTCATCCAGATTTCTTTGAAATGACTCAAATTTTCCTCTGGCTAAAAATACACACTTCAAAAAAAAAGAAAAAAAAAAAAACCACCACCACACCCTCATAGGAGTAACATGAATCCTAATCTGTTGTTCAAAAACCAAGGAAGATAAACCTGGACAAAATAAATCCACGCATAAATGACTGATTTCTATAAACTAAGCCAAAAGTACTTAAAATTCACCCCATATTCTTTGAAACAATCCAGATAGACTTTTAAAAACTAAGTTCCCACAGAAACAAACACCACACACACAGAAAAACAAACATCACTGTTTACATGTTAGGACTGTCACCATGCCGACTAACTTCGACACTGCCCCGCCGCGGCACACGCGCCAGACAAGGACACTCACTCCATTAACAGACACCCGGAGCTCCTGCTGCAAAGAGCAGCGACTGACGCGAGCCCACGTCTGTTCAGCACCTGCCCACGGGCCTCCCTGCGTCCCCCTCCGGCAGCGGAGCCCAGGCTCGGCTCGGGTTCCACGGGCGGGGCTGCACCCAGCAGAGGGTAACAGTGGCTCTGCCGGAGCTCCGCGAGCTCACCAGGCAACCAGGGTAGCCCCATCACGGAATCTGCTCCCAGCCCCAGCTTCATTCCCAAAGCCACCTTTCACTTGGCTGTCTACCACACGCTAAGTACCATCCCCAGGTTAAAGCGGTTCTCACTGCTGCTTTTTGTTTCAATGACGGTTTTATTTCATCATTTCCAAACCTGTACCTTTTTAAAAATTATTATTTATTTATGGCTGTGCTGGTCTTCGCTGCTGCAAGGCTTTCTCCAGTTGCAGCGAGCAGCGGCTGCTCTCGCTGCGGTCGGCACAGGCTTCTCACCGCAGCGGCTTCTCTTGCTCCGTGTGGTACACAGGGTCTCAGGTGCCTAGGCCCAGCAGCTGAGATGCACGGACACAGCTGCTCCTCGGCACCCGGATCAGGGGTCGAACCCGTGTTTCCTGCACTGGCAGGTGGATTCTACCACAGAGCCACCAGGGAATCCCCGCTGCAGAAGATTTTGACCAATGTGTCTACAACTCGTATTCAATACAACCGAGTGAACTGAGTATTTGGATCGGCTCACACAAAGTCGTTTGCAAAGTTACAAACGACTGAGTGGCAGGTGACCGAAAGCCAAGCAGCACTGAAGTATCACGACGATGACAGAGAGACGTCAGAACGCCCGGCTGAGAGCAAGGCCGGACTCCGATGGGTCTGGGCTCTGACCCCAGCTCCGCCACGAGCTGACCGGCCACCTGCGCCAGCCCCTCACGCTCAGGCAGCTCTGTGAGCGGCGGCAGAGCTCCAGGCAAGGCCAGCCCATGACTGAGAAGAGCAGAGCCCGGAGAGGAGGCCACTGGGAGAACTGACAGCCTTTCTACTTTACTCTATCTGCAACGTGTCTATAATACTTTCTAACATCATTTACTTGAAGTATAGTAGATTTACAAGATTTCAGGTGTATAGCAAAGTAATTCAGTTATACATACAAACACATACACAAAGTATTTTTTATCCTTTTCCATGATAGTTACTACACGATACTGAATACAGTCCCCTTTGCTGTACAATAGGCCCCTGTTGTCTGTCTAGTACAGCCTTTTTATTTTAGGAAAAGTTACATTAATATGTTCTCATCTACCTAAAAGAGAGGTTAATTTCTAATGGATAACAGTGTTTTCAAAGCTGTCAGAAGCAAAGGACCAGCTACAACCACACCACTCAGCCATGAGACAGATGAAACTGAGAGATACCAACCTTGTCAGGCTTAACGGAGGCCTTCTGCCACAATTCAAAAAGAAATGTGACTTCTTGTCTCTGAAATAAAATTCTACCCAAGCACCAAGTGCAGCTACTGGCCATCAGATGCGCTTCCTGCCACGAGCAGGGCAGTGTTACAGCAGAGCGACCGCGTAAACACCCTACAGGCGACACACAGACACAGGCTGGGCACAGACACAGGCTGGGCGGCAGGCACGTGGGAGGCTTTCGGCTAAATGTTTTATGAGGGGAACTTCAAACGTAAAACGCCCGAGGATGACACCGTGGAGACAACACTGCTGTGGACACACAGCTCTAGGAAGACCAGCCGCGGTCTGCAGGAAAGGCACATGGGAGACAGTGGAGGGCGGTCTTGGCCATGCTGGCTGGAGCTCAGCGGCCACAGGAGTGGAAGGAATGGGAGACCGAGGTCAGTGCTTTTACCTTTCCCTACTCACTCTGACTTCACTCCTGTAACCACAGACTTTGTGTTCAGTACACACGTGTAACATCTGCAGAATCCAGCCCTGTCTAATCAGACCTGCGGCTCAGGGAAATGCCCCCCTGGCCCTGACTGCCTCCAGTGCCCAGAAAACCACCTCCCCACGCAGACCCTCCCAAAGCAGCAGGTGGGTACAGAAGCTGCCGCAAGCTTGACTCAGAAGCGCACCGCAGAGGGAGGCGTGCCGCCCTGAGCTCAGTGTGGACGCGGCTCGGGGTGCGGGCGTGCTGCTCCTCTCCACACCCCGCCTCTCCTCTGCCGACTCTGCGGCCTCAGTCTGCCTCCCTGGACACATCACGATCTGGCTTCACAACACTTTAAAATTACTCTCTACTTCCTTTCATAAAACATCAACATTAGATAAAATTATGGAATAAAATAAAGCAAAGGAGAATTAAATGATGCATGTAAAGCAATGCCTGACACATGGAAAATACTCATCAAGTAAGCTTTAATTATTTTGTGGAATACAGTTACAAAGTCTGTTTTAATTATTTTTTAAAAAGATTTTTTTTGTCTTCTGAGTTAACAATCCCCGAGATTGAAGAGTCACTCACCTCAGTCTCAGTGAAAGAGAAAGTCCGGCGGCAGCTCAAATGGCCGCACCCCAGAGCCCGCGGGCAGAAGGCAACCCCAGCCTCGGCTCAGTAGGACCCCCAGCAGCGGTCTCCCCGCTGCAGGGCCTGGCGTGTCCCCAGAGCCGCTCCCGGCTCCTCTTACACCATCGCTACTTCAAGCCCGAGTGTAACCTTAGAACCTTCCCACTTGCAGCAGGGCCTGAAGGTGGCCTCAGCCTGTGACTTGAGGGAGATCAGATTTGCATTTATAATCTGAGCAGTATTGAAAGAGCAGGTGAAATAATGAATTGAAAATGTTTTCATCAGCATCAGAAAATCCTGAAAAGAATTCCAAGTCAACATTTTGCAAATATGTGCGTTTATAAGGAGCTGTCCTGTACAGGCTTCGCTGTCCTCATTTCTCTAGTCTCTTTCAGGCCACACCCTTCTCCTAACGGTGTCACCACCGAGCTGACCTCCTCACGGGCCATGTGTCCTCTGCGCCCCTAATGTGGACATGGCGGGTGCATGGCGGAGCCGGGCTCACACCAGGGCACCTCCAGGCCCAGCAGGCTAGCGTGGGGGGGAGGGAGGGGGTGCTCCCTGGGAAAGAGTGCTCTTGAACAGCGTTCAAACTGCCGGTCCAAGTGGAGGCGGTGGGGGTGGCGGGGGGTGCAGCGCTCACCTCGGCAGATGCGGCCCTGAGTGGAAAAGGAAGTTCCGGTGTCACCCTCTGATCGTGTCCCGGCGGCCACGCACACAGGCCAGCACACACGGGCGAGAAAAGGTCCTCTGTCTAGGCTGCAGACGCTGGTCTCAAACCTAGGAAATGAAATAAGTGTCGTTACCAACAAGCAGATCCTAGCGGGGCTTTAAAGTATGAGTTAAGATGCCTCATCAGTGATACTTGGCTTCTCCTTTAAAGCTCTCCCCTTGCCCAGGGCACACTGTAGTATTTACACCGTAAGGGAGAAGTAAAATAAAAAGTTCAGTTTTTGTTCTTGAATGTTTTGGTCAGAAGTGGATTTTAGTTCTACCACGACATATAATTTGAATCTCTACTATTTAGAATATTTGTACTCGTAACAATCTAGAAGACATACCTGAAAAATATTAAAAATTACAAGTCACATGGTTGAAAATAGAGACTGAAGCAAATGGCAATACCAAAGAAAGAAAATATAACTGTTAACAGCACTGAAAATAAATTAGCACAAAATATTTTCTTAGGAAATGCTATCAGTTCTTAAATAAAACTAGAAAAAATCAAACTTTAAAAATGGTCTGCAGCATTTCTTCTCATTATTATAAACCACAAGCATCATCATCTAGTAGGTAATTATTTTTTATTAAACCATGTATAAGGCTATCAGAATTTGCTCCAAAGGCACTGTGTTTGTAAAGACAAGCAAGTCACAAATCAAAGTTTCTATGAACTGATGGGGTTGCTGACCAAGTGGGCCGAGCCCAGAAGTGAGCCTGACGGACACAGGCTGACACGGCTTCCCTGCACAAATCCCCAGGGGCAACATGACCGCCTTGTCAGCCCTCGCCAGAGTCCCCTGTGAGCACCGCAGCTCGCCCTCAGGAAGCGCGGCCGTCCAAGTGGGTGCCAGACAGCACCCTCCCTTCTCTGGGCACAGGGCCAGACACCATCTGCCGCAGGCCATGTCCGAGGCCCTGAGCTGACAGCGGAGGCTGCACTGCCCACCCCAGGCCCTCGCGCCCGCACACAAGGCCCAGCCTCACTCCTACCAACCCTGCACCGCACAGGGTTTGGCTGTCAACACGCACCTGTGTGACCTGGTATTTCTTTATTACACGCCTTGTAGAGAAGAATTCTAAATCTGAAATTCAGAGGTGCCCTTTAAAAATTAGTACTATAGTGATTTTTTAAAAATCAGTACTGTATCCTATTGGTGATTTTGGCCTCACTGCAGGGCATGTGGGATCTTAGTTCCCTGACCAGGGACTGAACTCACGCGCCCTGCGGTAGAAGCGCAGAGTCTTAACCACTGGACTGCCTGGGAAGCCCTGAGTACTCTACTTTAAAATAATCACTTTGCTCAGACTTAATCCTGTTAAAACTACATAACATATAGATTAAAAATATTAGTTATATTTGTCTACAGATTAGAAGCAAATATAAACTGGCTTAGAAATGATTGTTTTCCAAAGATCCTATTCAATGTAATGACTTCCACAACATAATAAACAGGAATTGGCATTACCTACCTGTTTTCATTTTAAGGAAGCAAAACATTGCTAGTTTATGGAAAACTATGATTTACACTTGTAAAGAGTCAGACATGACTGAGCAACTTTACTTACTGAAAAAATAACCTCGTTATTTAAAACAGCGAATCAGAAACAAATGAGTATAACCTAAAAATATATGAAAGATCTTTACAGAATATTTGTTTTATATATATACTTGAATATATTTTTAAAACTTCAAGAAAAATACTACACTAAATTTAATTGTAAATTACAGAGAATGAGACTACCCTGTCTGGGACTGTTCAACATTTTTTTTTAAAAGAGTAGGTTTGCTAAATGGGACAAGAATTTGAAAAAGAACAGATACATGTGTATGTATAACTGAACCACTTTGCTGCACACCTGAAATTAACACAACACTGTTAATCAACTATA